CTTTCAAATATACTAATCCAAAATTACACATCCACAGTTTCAGTTTCTAACTCATTTATCCATATTTATGCAACTTCCATAACAGGGAAGAGGGCAGCAGGTCAGCACAACCCATCTGGATTATTTAGCACCGCTGAAAGCTATGGCACATCACACCAGCTGTTCTCTAACAGAGCAAAGGAAACTTGGAGAGGACACAACTTATGTTTTCAGGCACTGAAGTCCATTCGTATCCTAATGTTTAAGCAAAATCTATGAAAGTGAATTGAAGGTTCTTCTGTACTTCAGAAGTTACGTGGGTCAGACCAAGGCAACCGTAAGAAGGAATTTGAGGAGGTAAATGGGGTTTAGTTCCTTGTTTCACTTGTGAAATTTCAAGCCATTTTATAGCAATCAAAACAAGTGATAGCAGAACATGTTCCTGACGATATGGGGTAAGAATAGTAATAGCTAGAAAATAATGATTAATGATACATATTAAGAATTTTAGAATATAGAACACAGGACCATATAGATTAAGAGGAAAAGAAACAGCTAACAGATGGAAAAGTTTGCTTTCTCTTGCTAGCAAGGACTTATTTACAGACAGAAGGGACATTCTAACCTTACCCAAATAAAAGCAACCCTGAGAAGAACACTCAGCCATGAAAAGGGCACTCCAACCTCATCGAGAAGGCAACCATAAGGAACAAGAATTAGAAAACAGGATGGCACCCGACACAAAAACATCGATCAGTCCCCTTGCTGAAGAGACATAGACGGTAAACAAGGACACAAACGAGCTCAGACTGATAAAGACATTACAAGCTTGCAAAATCGTCGCATTCCAGGGAAAGGGTGAAGAGTACACTGCGAGGAAGACACACGGCCTTCCTCTCAAAGTCTACCGAAGACCCCTGCCCGTAATTTCTGGGAAGATCTGGGCAAGCCCGAAGGACTGATCAGCCAATTAGCATACGAAGCGGGAGTAGGCGGGGTTAGGTGATGAATATGTATAGGTGTCCCATGAATATGTCTTGTTTCACTGTATAAATGTGGGAGGGCTTGCCTCCTCGGGCATGCACGTTTGTGGTGGAGCGGCCCCCCATGCATCTGCACGCAATAAGCACACCTACTGTATAACTGCCCAGTTATTGAGTCTGTTCCCGTACGTCACTGAGATCATCAGCACTTGCTTATAAAGGTGGAAGACATTATAATGTCATTTGTAATTTTATTTAATTGCTGGTAGAGGCACGAAGCTATGGAAGTGCTTCATAGATTAATGATCAAGTGGAAAAATTCATGTGCAAGAAAGTAACCAAACATCCGCATTTGTTGATTTTCAGTCTGTCTGGCCTACAAAAGACTAAATCCTAGCTACGTAGATACAAGGAGCTAGAACAACTAAAGCAAATAAGCAAAACTGTCATGTGTTTAAAGCAGGATTCAGATGTCTCTAATTAATGTGAGAATTGTACAGAGATTTATTCAGAGTTTTTCAGGAAGGATATTTTTATTTGTTTTGCCCTTTTATGCATAAAAAAGCAGTAGCTCCAGTCACTGTTTGAAAGGCTTTGAAGACTATGTGAGGAAAACAGCCAACATGAACTACTTTCTACTTTGTTATTAGCTTTGAAAGCTGCACTTGGGGAAGTGGCTACACCAGCACAATCCACATTTTGAAAAACATGCGTGCTGTTATGCAAGAAATTCTTCTTCACCTTACAGGCCTGTCAGAAAGAAGGCTACACTCCAGAGAGTTAACAGTGGAGTACAGAGGGGGGAAAACTGAAGTAGAAGGAAAGTGACTGAACCTCCTTTGGGAGCTTATGGGATTGGACTGTCTCCTGCATAGGTGTCATTGTTAGGGGGGCTGGACCATTTTATCATTATGTGGGTAGAACCAAAAACTGTGTATTCTATACCCTATCTGTCATTGTTCATGGGCTGTTAACAAATCATTGGTAGCAGCTGCCCAGGACACACCTCACACCTCAGGCTACAACAGATAAGGAAAGAGATCTGGGGAGATGTTAGCACCTTCACACCCAGCAGGAGGCGTCCTCCTCTCTGTTGCTGGGCCCATCGATGCCTTGCAGCACGACTTGTAGAGAACTCCCTCCAGGAGTTTAATGGGCAATCAAGGACCCACTGCATGACTCATGGAATGACATCAATCCCTTGTGAGATGCTCCGCCCAGGGGGGAGGAGCCAAGTGCTCCCACCTGGATATAATCTGGGGTTCAGGACAGCACAAGTGGCTATTACCCACTGGACTTCCAGAAGGCAGGAGCTACCAGATCTTTTCTAGGGGATCACTGCTTCCACCAGACCACTTGATCTGGACTGCTACTACCACCCTAACTAACAGAGTGTCAGGTTGTATTCTGACTCTCTCTGTGGTTTTTCTTTGTACTATTGCATTTCTCTTTTTGGTTTTTTTTTTTTTTCCTATTAAATTGTATTTCTGACTTGGGGTCTCTCACTGGTTTGCTTTTAAACATGACAATAGGTCAGAGATAAAAAGGGAAGGTGAGTGGAAGGATGCCGCTACTTTGGAAGTAGTCTGTTTGTACACAAGATATTTTTCATTAGGAGATCTGAAAAGTATTGCAACAGGAGCACATTAAGAACCAAGAGCAATCTTCTCTCAAATGCCAAAACTTCTGCCATTGCACACCCTGGCCAAGGGTTTCAAAGGAACACTGAAAGGCCTCATACAGCTCCCAGAACAAGCAGACACACCAAGAACATAGGCCTCGGATCAGGTAGGGGCTGGGTGGAGGCTCCTAAGGACTTTCCCTCACAGCCTGTTGAAAAGCTTAAACTCTGTCTACGGCAGCTGAGCGTAAGAATATTGTTATTAATTTTCCCTTAGCTGCAGTCAATGGGCAGGTGTTCCCCAGAGGTGTGGCAAAGATTTTAGTTGTACTAGATTTGGTGGAGTACTGTAGCTATACTCTTTTTAGCAAATAGAGGGAGACAGAAGCAGGAAAACCATCTGCTAATCCAAAGTGACACAAAGGATGATTCACATAACCAAGTGGTCCATTTTCTCACATTGGCTATCTCCTGTCTACTGGACTTTAAGTTTCTTCAGGCAAGCCACTCTTAAAGCTCAATAATAAAGTAACAAAAATCTACTTCTTGTCAACCACGGGGCAAGGAAAATGACAAGTACCAGGCTCTGCATTAATCTGACATGCAAGAGAGTTTTTTACATCTCCTGACGCAATCGTTCTCTGAAAATCTGATTATTACTAGAGCCTTCTAGTGAAACTTACATTTTCCGTCTTCATTCCTGCACAGGACCTTAGTATCATCTGTACTTTCTATAATCTCAAGAGACTCCCCTGGTTTAATGTCCAAGTCTTTAGATCCCCGTCTTCTCTGGGGCAAGTCCTGCACTGTGGTGGTAGAGTAAAGAACTTTAATTTCACCGTCAAACTGTAAAAATAAAACAGAGATACGCTGTGTTAAAGCCATCCTAGTAAAGCTTATGATCATGCATTTAGATCCATATGTTTCTATTTATTTAGTTTATTTTTTTTTAAATTAGGCAAGTAACTGCTTATGGCTACATAGTATACACCTGTGCTTGCCATTTGGGCTTACAAATGCTCAGATGGCTCTTTTTACAAGTAGTAATCAATTACCTTTCAAAGGCAAAATAATGGATTATTTACAATTTAGGGGTTACAGATTAGAGGACACTGTACAGACATGTCTTTACATTTTATCTGAACAAACCTTTGAACAAAACTTACTTTGAACTTTTTTCTGAACTCTTTCTCTTCTTTTTCTATGTTTTTACGCTTTTGTGTCTCTTTTGCTGTTGATGTGTGTTTTTCAAGGCTTGCTGGTTTTGGTGCACTAAAACAAGAGGTTACAGATCAAGTAAAAGTAGCAACACATATGAGGTATTGATAACCTTTCTGATAATTTTAGTGAAAATGTGTTTGGCTTTGTGTGTCTTTAGTATGTTTTGTTGCTCTACAAAACTAACATGGAGAATACGATACAAATTATACTTAAAAGCAAACAAAAAATGTTGGTGTTGTCTTTCTGACTTTTCTCTTTTCATGAGCTCTGATGTTATATCTATCTTTCTCTGATAATGTATCTGTCATGGAAGTGAGTATAAAAAATGATTCTAAGTATCTACTGTTACAGCAATGAGAACTTTACATCTATGAAAAATAGCAGAGGTAAATGGCAACCATCACTTTAGACTCTCTAGGCAAGGAGCAATTTTTGTCAAGTCCATATATCTTCGGGCAACAGGCTGAATAACACTTGTCCCACTGTGAAGGCAGCTGGAACATCTTAGCCTTTCGTACAGTAGCTGTGTTAGTCCTGTGTGGCCACAGAAGGCCTGGCCACACCAGGGAGTCTGCTTAAACAAACACGTTTCAAGTCCCGTTGTTTTTTCCACCACCCTGAGGGTGTTGACTTGTGCCAATGAGCACGGAAGGATTTTATCCCTAACTGCTCTTCCTGATGCTGTATGTGGGAATCTAATCTCTGTCTCTATTGTTCGATGCTTCCTGATCTCTGTAGGAGTCATGGATGACAGTCTGACTGATGCTGGATGTATGTGTGTGTGTGAACTAACCTAGACTTAGGTTAGCAGGGCCGTGTATTTTCCTTTGGAAACACAGTCCAAAGAGCTTTCTCTCTTTTAATGCCTCCTGATGATGGTATTTTACTGCACCCTGAAGCTCCACCTGAGTGAAGTTAGTGACACCAGAATGTGACTTGTAGTCATCTTCACAGATGCATCTGTGCTCATAACACATCTGTGCTCCAGAGTTGGCCATAACTTCCTGGTCCAGGGATAAAAGTTTTCCAGGTTGAACTTTACAGCTCCAGATGTGCTTCATATTTATGACACAGGGCACTAATCACCTGTTCTCTTAAAATACTGCAGCAGCTGATATCAAGTAGTGCATCCTAACAGTCCCCACATTTGGCTAGGAAGGGGACTGCATGCAGAGAATTTACAATGAAGCACCATTACCCATGCATTCATTTCTACCTCTTGTCCACCAGGGCCTGAATTTGTCAAAATTCAAAGCACGCTTATTTATTCTACAGTCTAATTATTGTTTCAGTCTGAAATGGAGGCAGGGAGCATTCAGCTGGCATTGCCCCCAGTAGGGTTACAAGAACTACGAAACCTGACAGTGACAAAGGAAGCAAATATTAGTAGCAATCTGTCTCTAGTAAATAGTCGGAAATGTTTTGCAGTGTATTCAAGATTTCTGATCAGGAGAAAAAAATCTCCTTTTCACTTGCTTGAGTTCAGGTGGTGGAGGGGGGAAGTCTGAAGAATCTACGTCATCATAAACATCGTCTCCATGATCTGAAACAATAGGGTTTAAAAGAATGGAAAATTATTATGCAATCCTTGAATAGTGAATATATTGTGCTACAATCTATGGTAGCGTAGCTAAGTTGACAAGAAATGATGGCAAGTACTGTAGCCATTTACCATCTATAGTAACTGTGGGTTCTCTGGTTTGCACAATCCACTGTGCAAAACGAACACCAGCCAACCTTTTAAGAATAAGACTGTTTACTGGTAATAACAGGTATTCACTAATATTTTAATCTTCTTAAGCCAAAGCAAGTTTTAGCACATGTTGGCTAATGCAGCAGCCTTTAATCTTAGTTTTAGTGAGTCCATTTCCCACTCTGTTGCATCAAAATCTATTTTTGGAGTTTGGTTCTCATGTACACTCGGGCAGTTCTGTAGCACTCTGGTCAGTGCAGTGTTGCTTAGAAGTGGATATAAATCAGATCTACGTTAGTTTTCAGGCTGCCTTGCAATGCCCAAGCAGTGAACAGAATTCTTGCCCCAGGAATATACTTTGAATCGTATTCAGCATACTTGTAGAGAGAAAGCAATTGTTCGATTCATCAAATCAATGGCTAGCAAAATCATACTAGGACATAAAAGGTTTAGAGCTCAGTTCAGGCAACAGCCTCAAAAATCGGAAGGAGTTGCTTTTTATTCCACGGCTGAGCTGATAAACACACGGCAAGGGATGAAAATAACAAGCATCTCTTTTTACTTCTTGCATTCCGTGCTTCTTTCAAAGTGTGTCTGTTCATACTTGGTGTCAAATAAAATGAACTAGTGGAAATCTCACATAGGGGAATCATGACTTCTTAAAAAGATATTAGATGTATATTTCTAGAGAGCTTGGAATGTGTCTGTGCCTCCTTGTCCGTAGCCAAATCAGTCACAATATTTGAAATTTGTTTGCTGAAATGGGGTAGACAATGGGAAATCCTGTTTCCTTCCTTGAATGTGTTTTTGTGACTAGCATGACACAGAATAATGTATACAGAAAAAAAGGATCAGAAATCAATATGGAGACTGAACAGTAGGCTGTTAATTACCTTTTTCGAACTGCCTTGTTGTGAGAGACATCCTGGAAGAAAAAGATGCATATTAGCTGCTACCGTCACAATAATTTGCTTTTGCATCACATAAATTATTTAAAAAACTTGCAACACTAGGGCTCAAAGTCATCTCCAGACGTTTTGGAGCTCCGTTGACACTACCAGTGCTTATGAAATAAATGTGTTTTTCCCACTGAATCAAAGTAAACTGGTTCAGGACTGAATGAGAGAAGATGGTGGCAAAACCACCAGCTGCTGATCTAACTTCTAGGGGAGATGGGGAGAAAAGCTCTTTGCATTGATCTCTTTGGCATAGTATTCCTAAAGTTTGGATTAATGGGACTCGATTTCAGCTCCATTGTGCTGGTGAGAAAAGTACATTGTAACTGGGGATATGGCAAATTTACATCGCCAGAGTGGCACAAAGGTGGTGGATTATTTTGGTGCTTTCCACCACAGATTTTGAAGAAATATTTTAGTTACCAGACTTAGGCAACACATACAGCTTGTTAGGAGAATAATTATGTTATGCAGGTGAAAAGAAAGGAGCTCAGTGTTTTTGCAGAAAGGTATCATCCTGAGCTGCATTTTTATGCATGATTCATTAGGCTTCTGTGCGAACATGTTAGTAGCATGTGATCAGTGCTTAATTAGCATTAGTTATGTGCACTCTGATTTCCTGACAGGCTCTTACAACAAATCTCCATTATCTTCTGCCCCATTGTCTTTGCTTGTTTTTTCTCGTACACTTTTCTTTTTGACAACTTTGACCTTTAGCCTCTTCAAGATTCCCCAGGACCAGATGCTCCTATCTTCATCCTGTGATACAGACCTTTGGAGTATGCATGCGATTATCACAATGTAAAATGTAACTTTCTATTTAAAAGGCCCAGTTTAAGTTCTCTGATGGTGCACACACTTCTCATTAATGCCAACAATGTATATACCCCAAGGTGAGGACATTTACCTAAATGCTAAGCACTGAAATGCTAAACTAGACTGATGTATGTTAGGCCATTTGTAGGTACTGACATATATTTCTAGGTATAGAGATTAATCTAGTGGCTTACTCTTTTCATCTGTTACTCAGCGAGCTACCATTTTAGTTTGTTTTATTTTTGTTTCAGAGCTGTTCTGTCGATTTGAGGATTTGGGGATTTTCATGGTTGCTGCTGCTTTTGCTGGCATACCAAAATTAATTACAGAACAAAACTTCTCCAAGAGACCAAAAGAGCCCTCTTTTTTTTAGTTTTGTGAATCCATCTGGATATATACCCACTTGCTGTTCAACCTAATACTTGCCAATTATGGTACCTAATTCAAAAATACTGAAGGCTGAAATGAAAACACTCTGTTAAAGAAGCAAAGTATTTAAGTGATATAAAATCATACCTACTTACAGCATCTCCACCATCAATCATATCATACATTTCTTGGTCAGAAGGAGGAGGTGGGAACATCCCTTTAACAGATCAAACAGTGAGTTAGGGCACTTCTATATAATGCTGCTCAGTGGGCTATTGAATACTGGCCTGTTAAGTATGTCAGATGTGTGTGCAGATTGTGCAATGTCCTTGCAAATGGAATCCTTCTGTAAGCCAGCACAGTTTATTGAAATAGTGACTTAAACGCCTCCCGGTTGGGAATGCTATCCACAGCATCTGAGCGTGGCACTGCTGATCATAAGAGCATGAGTACTGAAAAAAATGCACTTATGTTGTATTCAGTGGCATTCTAAATGGCTGGGTTTGGCCCAGTCATTATGATGACTGACAGCTGTTGAATTTCTGTGCGTGGCTCGAGTGATGGCAGAATGTCAGACTGATGCTCTCAACAGGTAACGTCCTGAGCTCACGCACAGAAGCCAGAAGCAAGCGCAGTGTGAGCTCCCCAGCCTGGTCTCAGTTCTGTCCTTGGAGCCACACCTCCTCCTGGGCTGGGTTAGCTCAGTTTCCATGTCCAGTTCCAGCCACTGGTCAGAGTAATCACTGAGACCTGCATTTCACTGGTGACAGCTTCATTCAGCATTGCCAGGGGATGCTTCTGCCATGACTAGTACCTGAGCTCTAAGCTGAGGTGGTGAGCTGTGCTCTTGTGATCAACAGAGATTGCTACATAGATATCTGTGCTACCAAAGGGGAAATTGGGTTTAGATGTGTGACCCTGGCAGTGTGAAACTGCTGCAGTCATACAGGTTTGGACTCCAGAGTACTGCTGAAACTGAAGTTCCCCTTCACTCTGCCAGAAAAATGCAGCTTTGATTAGTAATATTTCTGGCTATTTCAGAACTAGGTTTCTCCTGCACAAAACCTCTTGCTCGTGTTACTGTTTGGCTAATTACGTGTGATACTGTTTTGTGGGATGGTTTACTTTCACACAAAACAAAAATCTAAATTTTTGGCATACTTCTGGTGTGCTTCCAGTTCACCGTATCTGAAGAAAAAATTCCTTCCCAAGTTCCCGTAGGTGGCAGGAAAGTTAATTTGGCCACTGTACTTCCTTGTTTGTTGCATGTTAGCTAACGTGTAGCATGCTTATGGATAATTACTGCATTATTTGGAAGCTGCAGAGGTCTGGATTTGAAGGTAAACAGTGCACAGAAACAACTCCCCCTGTAAAGCAGATGTAGGACTTACTTCCAGCTCCACTTTGATCAGCTCTCTGACTGAAAAAGCAAACGAGAGACATCTTAGTGCAAAAACAGTCATTCTTTGGAAAAAGCAACACCCAGGATCACCCATTGCTTTTGTAGTTATTAGTCCCTTTGGCTTTGGGATCTGTCTACACTGCCCGCTGAGCACTGCAAATTCTGCACTGGAATTTCAGGCACATCCTTGCGTGTTCTAGATGGGCACCAACTAAATGTGCCAGTTCTTTTGTTGTCCGTTTTTAACCACACTGACACTGATTTCTTTGCATCGAATAGCAGTGTATTCTCACTAATGCTGAAGAACATGTGCCATTATGAAATTAACCTTTAGTATAGTCAGGTTAAAGCAGGAAAATTACTCTTTTTTTCTTCTTTTTCTTTTTTTTTTTTTTTTTCCTGTAGAAATAACTAATTAGAAATCAGAAAAGTGTAAAGTATCATTTGCAGTAATTGAAAGAGGACTAAGAGCTATGGTTGTCAAGACCATCTTTAGTTCTAAGAGAAACTGAAGAAAACCCTGATAGGTTCACAGTAGCTGAGATTATTTCCAGGTCAGAGGCTTACTTAAACTTACACAACAGAACAAGGTATTTGTAAAACTCTAGTGCCAAGGAGTCTTGAAATGTAACAGCCTTAATTAATAATTTATTTTGGAGTACTAACAGCTACTGCTAATGAGATATGGTCAAGAGGCTTTTATTAGCATAGCACTCTTCCAGTGGTCTCCAAACACGTTGATGTATACCACATCTTCCACCAGTTCCTGCTCGTGAACCAAACAGAACGCTAGTAACCACTGGAGAGGACAAAAATGTCAAAATACAGCTTAAAGGATTGAATGAATCTGAGCCATCCATTCATCTTTCCAGCTTCCCTAGACTGTTATTCAGCATGTAACAGTGTAAGTATTCTGGTTTGCTTTTGAATTCAACACATTTTCTGAATTCCTTGCACTGAGGTGGTTACTTGTAATGCTTGCCACAGCAAAAAGGATTGGCCAAAGGTACTTCTGCAATGAAATAGCTAATGCTCAGATGACCTAAATCCTAGAACAAGTAAAGCAAATCTTCTGGCTAGGTTATGATGGGACAAGACCAGTGTGCAGGAAAGAAAACTGGTGCTGAGTAACCTGTAAAACTATCAGATGCAAAACTGTGTTGGTTGTTTAGAGAATGGCAGCCTGCAGGCTGACCTGTCCAGGCATGGTTTATGGAGCTCATAGGGATGTTGTGAGGATCAGCTGCACCCAGCGGCCAACAAGCTCCGGTCCCTTTATTCCAGCCAGGCCTCAAAGTTAGGGTGCTAGGAAGCAGTAAAGCAGGTGTAATGGTTGAGTGTCTCAAGATGGTTGTCCTGCAAATTGAAATCCTCTACACTCGTATGCAGATGTCTGATCTAAATCCTGGGGTATGTATTTCTGCACACCAGGACATGTAATGGTGACCAACCAGTCATTTGTTGCATCACAAGACAGAAACAGACTTTTCTGTGAGGTCAGATAACAGAGGTGCCACTGACACATTGGGTCATGTGGTAGCCTTGACTCTTGTCAGAAGATCACAAGGATATTTGTGTGGCACACTGCTGGAGCTGACACTTCTCTAGCTTCAGGTTTACTTGACATGAAAAGTATGGCACGCTGAAATAGCGTTTCCAAGGTAAAGGCCTTATTTTCAGGGTTAAACACATTGGCCATGGTCTCTTCTGAAGAGAAGGCCACGGTCTTCTTCTCATCCTACTCATGCTGTCAGAAGTCCCTTCTCTTCAAAAGGAGAGAGGCAGACTTAGAGTAAGACTCGTGAAAGCAACGAGGGTGACCAGGAGTTCCCCAGTGCAGTAAGTGTTTCCATTGCTTTGAGAGTCTTTTATTCTTCTGTGTTAGAAAGGCAGCACGTGACTTCAAAAGCTAGAACAAGAAAAGAGAAGGAGGGAAGAGAATTGCAGTTCCTGCAGGTGATTTGTAATCGTGCATGGTTTGCATTTTGTTCTTTGGCCTGCACTGCTGCAGGTCCGCTTCCAATAGTACTCCGGATTCCTCCTGAGTAGGAGTGCTTACAGAATCTGTTTTCCAGAACCCATCCCTGTTCCTCTGCTACTTCATGCTGAGCAGCTCAGTTACGTGTTTCTGTCATAAATGGCTGTTCTTTCGTGACAGGGTCTGCCTGGTTGTTGTAAACCTGCCCCTGACTAGGCTGCCTGTGGTCAACCACTGGCTCCCTCTCGTGTGCTCTTTATGCATACCTGCTGATACTGCTTTGCTCTCCAACATCATCATAGACTTCTTGGTCACTGTCTGCATGTTTCACAGCAGCTCTGACAGATGGTTGTTTTTTTCTTAAAGAATCATAATCGATCTCCACCATGGTTGTTTTAATGTATCCATCTAAATGAATAAAACCGTGTAATTAGGCAGAGAGAGTTTTAAAGCCCGTGGTAAAGGGATGAGCATAACAGAAGGTTCAGAATCAGTGACAGAATTGTTTTGTGTGATCTCTGAAAACTTTCAGAGGAAAGTCTCATTACAAGCAGGCTCAGCTTGAGTCTTTCTCTGTCTACACAAATAAAAATCCCAGATCTGTCTCAGATCTCACCCCAAGCCCTTCTCAGCTGGTGTTAATTTCACATTTGTTTACGTCTTGGCTACAGCAGAAGAATCTTCTGTGCGGCCTCCAGAAACCATGGGACAAGTGCCCTTTCTCAGCTAACCTTGGGCCCATGGCAGTCCTGTAGAATATCTTAGTACATGACATAAAGATTCTGACAGGTCATTAGAAGGGAGTGACAATCTGCACTGGTTTTGCTTCAGGTTGGTAGCCACGCTGCAGCTGCATTGCTATCCTCTTGTCCCCGGATCTTCACTAAAGAGATCTGGCTATGTGCCTGGGTGCAGTGGCTCGGGAGAAACAGGCAGCAGAGAAGCTGGCCTGAGACTGAGGACTCTGTCTCTGCTGAGGGGAATTTTAGACCTGTACAGAAGAGAGCATGAATGGATTTTCTCAGGTGTGAACAATGGTCATGCCTTGATGGAAAATGGAAAATTCCCCACTCGACTGCTTCAGAGTGGGCCGTTTTTAGTGTGCTTCCCTTCAAGTCTGTAGCACACTGATTTTTTTCTTCTGTTTAAATGATCAGAATTGATCTTCCTCTGTTCTTTGGTCTTCTTCACAGACCATTACTGGCCTGTGAAGAGTGGAGGCTGAAGTGTTGGTGAGACAAATTAGGCTGTACTGTTGACACTTGTCAGTGGGAAGCCTTGCACAGCTTGCAGTTTTGCCAAGGCAAGAATCAGTTTATGAAAAGTAAATCAATTAAAGGTAAATTAACTAACTGATCACACATACTCAAGAAAATACCCTTCTCCCAGCCATCACCAAGGTTTGTTTTCCTCTGTACAGAATGCTAAATACAAAGGAGTTATTTACAAAACTTCAGCATATCACAGAAAAGCTGATATTGGAACTTACCTCTTGGGCCTGTCTTGGCTGTTCCCCCTGCCCAAGATTTTTCTGCTCGAGCAGGTTGCTGAGGGCTCTGTCCCGTCAGGTTTTGAAGATCTCCATGGATGGAGACTCCACCACCTCTTTGGGCAATCTGTTCCCTTGCCTGGCCACCCTCACAGGATAAAGTGTTTCCTGATGTTCAGACAGAACTTCAGGTGTTTCAGTCTGGGCCTATTGCCTCTTGCACTGTCAGCGGGCACAACTGGAAAGAGCCTGGCTCCGTCTTCTGTACACCCTCCCCTATTTATGAACAATTTTAAGATCCCCCTGAGACTACACTTCGTCAGATCCACTGACAATATTTATACAATCAGAGAAAAATCTTGGATTTCGTATAAAATAAAATTTAGGAATCAGTTAGAAACTTTCCTTAGGAATAGGAACAAGAAACTTACTTAAAACAGGCCCTTACATTCTCTGCTACTCTTTTAGGAACACCCATGTTATTTGCAATACAAAGACACGGATAAATATGATCCTTGTTACTTGCATGGAGTCAAGTTCTGATGCTGTTTGAAGGTTGACGTGGAATTAACCTCTCAATAGGTCCACGAAGATCCCAAAGTATTGTTCCTAAATTATTCTAGTGTCTGTAGATGTGACATTATATTCTACAATAACTTCTTACTAGGAACTAAGCCTCTCTGGCCAGCTAAGGCCAGGAGTGTGAGTTGTGGCAATTGCTTACTTTGGTGGCCAGTGACTCAGCCTGGGTAAGGCTACTACCTGCCATAGTGCTCCCATGTTGGCTGTCATACGGCTAAAACATTCAGGAGCGCATTGAAGAAAGGAAACTCACAACATCCTTTTATCCTGCCCAGCCATTTTCCTTCTGGGTTGTTTGTGAGGCGGATGATTTCAATCTCGTCCCCCTGTTTGACAGTCAGCTCGTTCTTGCCTCCCTTGTGGTCAGCGCAAGCCCGCGCATGATGAAGGACTTGGATGGAACCCGTCAGCTGCAGAGAAGAGGCAACAAAAGAAATCACAGATGTGGAAAAAAGGGGCTCGTTCCCAAACATGCAGACAAAAGAGAAAATAACTGTAATGATGATTATTTGTTTCACTGACATTTAAAAGAATCTGGGCAAATAAAGAGAAAGTCATCGCTCCTGTCCCAGACTACCCACTTCAAGTTAATAATCAGGATTGAAAAGAGAGGGCAACAGCATTGCCGTAGAGAAGCTTAAGGACTGATGAGCACAGTCACAGAAACACAAAGACTAAAACCAGCAGGCTGATCTATGGAGCCTTTCACAGCTTCACAAAACCACCACAAATTTAATTCCAGTGGGCAGCTCCATATAGTTCCAGCAGAACTACTCATATGAATAAATGTTCACTAACATAAATAAGTCTACCACATTATCTTCTGTGTTTACGATACTACTCTGTAGATGATCCTACAGGTACTCACAAGAAATGATCACCCTGTTTACTGGAATTGAGGATTCCAGACCTTTAACACGTGTTATGAAGAAACCATTTTGGGTTTTAGCATCTGTGGCTTTGTGATACATGTGATCTCCCCAGGGCATGTGGCCTTTGACAGCTATAGACTAGCTCAGGAATATTTAACCTGTCTAGGTGGCAAAGACATGGGAAACAAAATAGGCATTAAAATGCACTTCTTTGCGTTTAAGAATCAGAACATGCTCTAACGGCCACTAGAGAGCAGTCTCCACCCTGAACGCATCCACTGGACTAACACCTGCACTTCCCAGGAGTGAAAAAGAGACTTGAGGCTTGACACACACCAGCTAGCCCCCTATTATTGACTGTTGGTATTTTCCTTTAATGTTTGCTCTTCCACTCAGATCAGTCTCTCCACAGTGGGCCAAGGCCACGATGTGAGAGAATGACCATGGCTTTACTGTGTGCAGAGCATAAGAGGGATTAAAACAAAGCTGCCTACTGTGTACAGTGATACTGAAAGAGGCACAGTGGAGCATTGTGGGCGACTTTAGTTGACAGAGTAGGCTGGGCACATTTGTAAAGGTATAAACCAGAAAGAACTGTCTCATCGTTTTGCCACTAGACTTTGACAGCGAGTGTCACTTCCCTACATGTGCCCTATTCCTCTCCTCCCCACTGAGGCTGGAATTCCCTCAAGGTCCCTTTAGACCCAGCAAGGGCAGTGTGTTCCAATACATTGCTGAAAATCACATAAGGCCTGGATACTGTTCTACCTGACTCCAATGAAGTTTAGGGGACCTAATTCCCACTTCTGTGAAGGGCTTTTGATGCTGTTCTAGTGCTTTAACTGCTTTTTAAACAGAAAAGGGAATGGAAATGTTTTTCAGGGTTTTTGACATACAGCACACTTGAGAAGGGAACTTAATGAAAACTGTGTAGGCATTGAAAAAAGGTCTTCGCCCTCAGTAGAGAGCCTGAAGGCATGCATATGCCAAACATGGAAGGGCAGCTTAAACCTTCAGTCAAAATTTAGCAGGTGCTTGAAGTGCCTACAATAACAAATAGTTCTGTAGCCGGTTGAGAAATGCATTTGGAACGTGACAATGCTAAGTAATGCTTCTTACATGTCTTTGACCAGATTACAAAACAAAAAGCTTACTTTGAACTTCTTCCTTATTTCCTGATCTTTCTTTTCTTTCTCCTTCTGTTCTTTCTTTTCTTGGTCCATTCTTTTCCTTTCTCCCTTGTCCTGCTTCTTCTCTTTTCCCTTCGACGATCTGAAAGTGCATTGCCAGGACTGAATGTAGCAGTGAAACAAATCTCACTAGAGCTTTCTTACCCAAGGTTAGAAATAAACTAAAAAAAGAAGTGATGGAAAAAAATCTCTCCTGGTGAACTGAAAGCTACAGGCTCCAAACCCTGGAGCAGCTGCAGCAGATGCAGTAAGCAGCCCTTTCTTTTATATTATGTATATAAGAGTCTGTCCTCAAGAGGCCGGTATTCCAGAAGAGGTTCCTTCCTCTTATTTTTTTGATACTTTTGCCAAGCTGATATGCCCAGGTGACATTAAAACAAAAACAAAAACAAAAAACCAAAACAACCAAAACCAACCAAACAAAAACCAGACTGAATGAGGATCTCTTGGTCATTCTGTGTCTGAAACAAAGTGTAAGAACTTTAGACTGCTACTCATTCCAAGGGAACTAGAGCTTTTCTTTGCCTAGTGTGATACAAAGAATCCTATCTATTTAGACATTAGCAGAGCAAGAGACTCCTCACAGTAAAGGGCTAAATGGCAGAAGAGTGGGCAGAGCTCATATGCTGGCCCTGTATCTATGCCAGGGGACTCAGGCCCTGAGAACTGTAAATGCAGCCTCTCATAGGAATTTAGGTACATTTATCTACAAAGGGAAAAAACAAAACAAGGCAAAACAGAAGAAAAGATCTATCTGGGACCGTACTAGATAGGGACTGAGCCTATTTTATCTCCCAGGCTGTAATTCCAAGCAGTGATTCCGACGTCTTCCTTAGATCAGAAGCCAGCTTTCTGTTATCGCTGTCGCAGTAACCGCATGATTTTATTGCAGGAGTTTTTCCAGCCCAGGGCATAGCAGATCTAAGTAGGAAAGAACCTGTGAACAACCTGAGTTTCTCCAGGTGAAAGGAATGAACACAATGATGCCTCTCAGGGAATGCAGTGGAGAGTGCCAGGTGAAATACCTTTGTTAGCAAGCTTTTAGCAATAAAGATAGAGTAGGTTATAGAGTTTAAAATTACTACCTGATGTCATTTATGTCTTCATACATCTCTCCATCACTTTCTTGGCCCTGTCAGAAGAATTGAGTTTTCAGTGGCCTACATACGTTTGAAAAGCTAAGAAGAAAATAGACCTGCTGTGTAAGCTTCATACAATCTATACAAGAACATCTACAGCAAAATGTAAATACAAATTAATTTAATCTTCCCCAGCCAATTTACTACATTATTCAAACCCACTATTCTTTTCTTTCCGGCTGTTCTTACAGTGGCACAACTATAACATCCCAGATTGTTGCAGCGGCACTAGCACAGTGCTTAACCCAAAGGGGATGTTGTAACTGCAGTGTTAGTGCTGGAGAGCCTTTATCTGTGTTGATGACTGCACTGGCATGATCAAGGTGTCAGGTTTAGCAGCAGTTGAACTGGAACTAGGGATCTACATGGGACTCTGACGAGAGTCCCGGAGACTGTTTTAGTCCCAGTACAGCCAGGCAGTTAAAGACACTGATACGAACCTGTGCGTACCTGAAACAAGTGGTTTCTTACCAGAATAGAGCAAGACCCTTGTTTCTGGAAACTTTCAGTGACATGACATGTCAGTGGAAATAGGAAGGCTGGGTTTGCTTTTTTTAAAGCAATTTTTGGTATCTGGCCAGCACTGATAAGTAGTTCCCATTCGCTCTGCTTACCCCGTTTTATTTCTGTCCTTCACAATAAGTAAGTGCTTCCACACCTTACCATCAATATATTGGATTAATTCTGCAAGTGATTTTCTAATGCATCAAAGGGATTTTACTAAATTAGTAGGTTTATGCCAAAAAGGATAGTTTTATCGTAGAGGATAACACTTACCCCCTCTGTGTTTCCATGACCTATAAGACAAAAAAACAAAAACAACAAAAAAACCAGGGTATTTATTTTTTTACCATATGGAAAACATTTCATTCTGGCATTAAATGTTTGCAATCTGCTAATAATAGCAGTGATTTAACTAGAAATATGTGTAGGCTCCTGGGTTTTAATAAGGGCATGAGTGCCAAAATCAGGGTTTTACCAGACTACTTTTGTAGTACACTGTAAACCAGAAGTATCTACAGAATAACATATTTCACGCTGTATTTTTAAAAGTGGAAAATTAAAGATTCTTTAGCGATACTGATGAACTTCTCTAGGCTATTTGTTCACAAAAGGGCCTATCCACACAAGATAGTCCTTGTTAAAAACCTAATAAATCCAAATAGAAGAAAGGACTTGTTTGCACCAGCCCAACAGCTGAATAAGGAAGCCAAGAGCTCTTCTGCTAAGCCAGCTTCTACCCTGGTCTGCAGGAGGAGAAACTCTGTGAGTCACCTGCTTCCTCCTGAGGCTGCAGGTAGTTCTGCTGTGGGGCCAGGACGGGCAGCACACGAAACAAGGCATCGTGTGCCTGGCACAGACCAAGCCCTCCCGAGGAGAGATCAGGAGGCAGGTTGAAATTCTTTGTGTCGCAGTCTGCTCCTCTGGCTGCTCCTGGTACAGCACAGTAACTCGCTGCCTCTTGCTGAAGGCAGATCTCAAAGCACCATTATAAGCACAGTCAGCAATTGTTTTTTACCGAGTCCACCACAATGCCTTCTCCACCCAGCACACAGCTTCAGCTCGCAATGAGCAGCGTTCAAGCTGGTTCACACTTGAAAACCGGGTAACTTACAATTCCAGCATATTTCTCACCAAAAAGAGGGGAGAGAGTGCAGATACTGAGAGCAGTTCCTGGGACTCTGTCATGTTGAATTACAGACCAGTTAGTGTCATGAGACAACCACCTTCACCCATGAAACAGCAGAGCCAGGATAATGAGTTACACAAGTCACTCATGAACACAACGTGCTTTTGCTTGTCACAGAAGGACAATATACTTAAAGTTTCTCAGAGCTGCCATGAATTAAAACAGATGCATCTTACCCTGTGAGAGAAATTCAACATCATCATAGTTTTCTTCATTGTCTCGACTTCTGTAAATATGAAAAAGTGGACACGTGAAGCCTGTGAAGTTGGTTTTATGATTGCATTTTCATTCACCATTGTTCTGGTGCTTTTGTCAGCTCTTTTATACAATGGCTGCACGGTCTGTGAAATCCTATATGCTCCTTAAGCACCCACAAGATTCCCTAAATTCTTTTTCCTAACTGTGACTTGATATTTCACACGGGGAAACCTTTTTTTTCACGAGTATAGAAAGAGAAAAAGAGCCAAAGGTGCTGAGATACCACGGACGTGAGTGTGGTATGAAAAATACCACAGGCAGATGGGCTGACCTAATGGAAAGGGATCTGTTGGGCTTTTTAACCATCTTGACAGGTGCAGGCTTCTTGCACAACACACCAGGGGAACGCCAGACTTCTGCTCAGTGTTAAATAAAGCTCTAAGACTTGCTCCCTGACTTGTGGGGCTTGAAGTCTAAACGAGGGACAAGAGCAAGAGCGGTACAAGGTCAGGCCAGGCAAAAGGTCTCTGATGTTGTAAGACTGACAAGTGCTGTCGAGCGGAGAGGAGCCCAGGTTGCTGGGTGGGGTGGTGACGGCAGCTCCCGGGGCTGCCCGGCCGTGGCGGGTGGGTGTTCCCCACAGCCCCACAGCCCCCAGCACAGCAGCACCAGCAGCACCAGCAGCAGCACTGTCTGCACTGGAATACGGTGTGCACGCCGGCACACGCCTCTCTGACGCTGAACGTGTTCCCTCTGTCTGCCGTTTGCTGGCATTTGCAGTAAGCTCTGGCCAGAGAGCAGCTCGTTACTCAGGCTCAGCTCTGGCACTAGACGGGAAACTGCTGTTATCGTTTGGGGCTGGCAGGCCCCCTTTGGTACTCAGCTCCTCCTCCTCGGAGGATAAAGGAAGGAGCCCCACGTGGAGAGGCTTCCTGGTGCCAGCACAACCGGCCAGATGCGGCTTCTGGTGTGGTTTCACAGGCAGCACTGAGCTCAGTACCTCTGGCCTGCAGAGCTGCTTCCTGGAGCACCAGCGGATAGATCCAACCCTTCTGGCCCCTTTCCCTCAGAAAAATGCAGGGGAAAGCTTCGGGTATTGAGATAACTGATTTTCTACCAGTCTATGGAGTCTTTGAACTCTTGTGGAGTGAAAGCCGCAGCAGGGTGTGTCTGTTCCACGCACCTCCCGCCCTGCACCCTCAAAAGAGCAGAAGACAATTTAGGTAAACAACTGAATCGATGGAGGGTTCAAGCCCATAGAAACTAATTCCAAACAGAGCAGGGACAGGGGAGGAGAAAGAAAGTGTTGTGGGATCTCACTCCCCCAAAACCCAGGGCCTTAATCTACTCCTGCATGAGCAAAGTAGTGGGCAGTAGAAGGTAAGAAAATAAAGACATTGGAGTTTTCGTTCTCTTACATTGTTCCAGAGCTGGGGTTGGCCTTTCTAGGAGGCAGGCTGGGAGCTGCCAGGTACTGCGTGGGTGGGTGAGAGGCTCGTGGAGGAGGTGGCAACTGCACAGCCACCTGTGATGGAGGCACAGGTCGGAAGAGTGCTGCTGAGGAAGGTGCTCTCTGTTTCACAAGTTGATCCTGAGGGCCTGAAAGAAAACAGACCAGACTGAATGTATTGGGCAAACAGCTGAGGAAGGACCGTTCCATGTTTCTGCGAAGCGTTATGCCAAAACACCCGTGCTGCACACAGCCCTTTCATTTCATCAGCCGCATGCATTTCACTGAGCCTGCTTCTTAGACACGCTTAGTGCCTTATTGTATCGGAGTAGAGACACTGCCTAGAAGAGTCAACTGGCTACAAAAGCCCTTGAAAATGTCTTTGCCAAGACAGGAGCGAGACACAAAAGGATCACTTCATCCAGTATATAAGCTTTTGTGCTTTGAAGCTAAATCACCATTTAATTCTAAAATTTCCTTGAAAAGACTAGCCACAGAGTTTCCCATGAGCACCGATGCAGTCTTGCTGGAGTTTTCCGTGCTCAGAAACAGAGTTTCAAGGGAAGGGACAGGAGATGAAAAGGTATTTTGGCATGGATTAAGAGGTGTGTGGGTCTCCGTACATCTTCAAATACTTTGTAGTGTAAGCTGTAAAAGGCTGGACTTCATTTTCTAGCACGCTTGTACTGGAGAAGTCGCAGTTTGAGAAGCTGCACAGAAACTACACCCTCAGCAAAGAGGTGCAGCAGTACAAACCTGCTGATGCAGTGCATGAAGCCCAGAAGCCATCAGTACGAGAGTGGGCTGGTGTGCTCGTG